AGAGAGAGAGAGAGAGCGAGCGAAGTTAACGAATCGGCGCAAGACGAAGGCCATAGTTTACAGGTGCTTCGACCGACGGACCGACCGGAGGCTTGGCTCTCGAAGTTCGATCGAGTTCGTTGCTATTTGCTCTCCGATAGTAACGTATTTCACCACCGCTTTAATTTCCTCTACGATGTAGAGACGGCCAAGAATATGAGAGAGAATAAAAATGCCAGACATGGAGATATGATATTGGCTCTTTTCAGAAAAATATGAAAAGTTTGATTGCTCAATTGTCCGCATAATTTGCGTTTATATCATTGCGACGCTTAAAAAGTTTGAAACTATAATGTTACATAATGTTTAACAATATGTTAACATCAATGCAACAAAGTGTATTTATGGCTCAAATTATCGATTTTTTTAACTTAAAATAATATTTATTTTTTGAAACACAAACTTTAGTAAATATGACAAATTAATATTTATACAACGGAGTCTTTCATTTTTTCGCTTTTACGGAGACAAATTTATCGGTTCAAAAATAATTTGTGTAACAACTTACCTTGTTGATTTGCCGCTGCAACTTTGTGATAGTCGCTCGATCCCGTTGAGCCGCGATACGTTCCGCCAGCAACGCTTGTTCCAGCTCTTGCACTCGCTCCTCCAAGCTCTCCTGCAACAGCAGAGAACGGAATATTGTAAAAAAAATGAGATAGCAAAGTGACAGAATTACACATACATATTTATTGTCGCAGGTGAATAAATATTTCATACACTGCATGTAAATGGTACGAGAATAACTGAATAAAAATTGAAACCGCTTGAACGTCAAAAAAAAAAAGAAAAAAAAAGTACACACGGTTTGTACGCGCATGATCGGAAGCGCTTTACATCGAATTCCAATTAACTTTTCGTCGAGCGACGCAATTCTCAAATACGTCCGTAACTTTCGACTGGATGCTCTCGACGTAATTCCCGTTACCTGAGTTTTAAGCTGCCTTAACGGAGGCTTAGACTCTAAGAAGAGATCACACTCTCCTCCGTATACTTGGAGATTACCGTGCCGATGCGCATCGGATTCCCGAAAGCGAGAAACCTTGTCGGTCCAGTCGATTCTCGTCTGCTTGCGGTTCGTCGACAAAGATATCGATGCTTCCAAGTAGCCCCGAAGTGGCTTCGACCTTAGAAGTCTCGGTTTAAATTAACCACGAAGTTAGTGTGACACTAATTATAAAATATATCTCAAACTTTGATCTAATTCTTAATCAAGAAAATACAAGGAAATTAATCCATCATTTATTTTAATATAAAATTTTAACAAACATTATTCATATTAATAGCATTTTTATTTAAATCATGAATAAATATTTTTGAAAAGTTATTAAAAATTAGATCAATTCTTTAAAAACTTTTATTAATGAAATTATAATTAATTTGATATTAGAATTTCGGAGCTCGTTCAACAAGCACGCGAAATCGACCGTCTCAAGTCCATCGCTATTTTCACGAGAAGCTTGGCGACGCCGCCACAAGCCATCCCCGAATTGATTTACATCCTTCGCAAAGCATTTCTGATTATCAGCGACGGTTATTGGGGCCGCGCCGCATCGGAACGGAATGGTAATGAGCGAACTCCCGCTTGGTCCCCAGGGGCTGTTGGTCGCGATTTGACCATAAGTATTGGGCGCGATCTATTAGATTCAAGGAGACGCCGACGCGGCGTCGAGGGCGTCCGCCTCCGATTGCGCCCCGTGAAACGTGGACGGATTCGTATGCGGGGGCACGTAGCCGCAATTCACCCTTTTCGACCCCTCGGCCGCGATCGGTGCGGTGCCGACAACGCACGGCCATTGTTTGCCACCGACGGTTCGTCCTGCACACAGGAAGAGAAAGCGTTTCCGTGCGCACTTACTTTTAAAATCCGTACGAATGCGCGAGTGTTTGCGCAAAGCAAAACGGAAATTATCAGATTTTTTCGTTCTGAATATTTATCGAGAATGTAACAGAGAAATGTAGAAAGTAATATAATAAATAAAAGCATTAAACACTGTAATTGTGTGCATATTTCTCGTTTGAAAACGTTCAAAGATTCAAAGAATAAAACAGAATTCCAAGCGGGTCTTATATCATGTCCAATTCTAGAATATATCACGTCTCGGATAATTGCAAAGCTGCGTGGCGGAAAGGCTTTAGCCTTTCGTGACGCATACTCATTCCGCGTTAAAAAGAATGTTCAGGTTGCCAGATCGGTATGCTAGATTTCGCTATGTAGAATTAAAGTACGGATGTTTGGTTGCTTTGTTCTCGGAGCAGACATTTACGAGTGATAAGGTGATGTATGAAACGTGTTCTAGTATTGATTAAACGATAAGACATTTTGAATATGTAGCAATGGTGGGTGCATTAATGAAGATTCTGAGTGAGAGATCACAATAGACGCGGAGTATCGATTGCACGGCATTAGTGATTAAAATTATTTAAATTATTCTCTGCAATCCTTCTTTTACCATTTTTATCGTTGTTGTCGGATTTTCCAATATTTCTCTACACTTATTTTGCGCCAAACGATAATAAATATTCAACAACCTTTAAATCATTCGTGAGGACGAATGCGTTTGTACTAAAAAAAAAAAAAAAGAATTATTTAATACGAGTTTAATCGATGATTCTTCAACAAAGCTCATCCATTACAAACTGCAAATTTGACCTGTCTATGTATCAAAATGATTTAAATGATTGAAATATCATTTATAAATGCAAATATCAATTGATCTATTCAATAATACTACATCTGAAATAAATACTAATGAGTTGTAACTGATATTCGCGTATATCTTTTATCGTGCCATTATTATTCGTTTGTTCGGTAAAATAATTTCATTATATCAAATCATTTGTATGTGCAAAGCTGAAACAAGCCAATAAGTTATAAATGATATCGCATATTGATGTAAATAATATTCTCCAACCTGTCGAAATAATCTGATTACAAAATTATTTATTTCGCGATATGGCCAGCAAGAATGAATATCAATAAGTCACGAGCGATGTCACACATAGTCCATCGTGCCGCCGCAAATATTCCCCGACCATTTAGTAAAACGCTCTTATCTCTCTCTCTCTCTCGCGTCGAGGTCCGCAATTATAACGAGGGCCGATGTTGCATACGATCCGCTCTGCCCTCTGAAAGGGCGCGGGACCCGGCGTGAGAGGGTCGAGGGACACGCCGGCCGTATACCACGGTCCGAGGACCCGTAGAATTAGCGCGGGGACTTCCGGGACGTCATTTAAAGTACGGATCCGCGCGCCGCGCGATGAACCCACTCTATATGCAGAGATTCCGTTAAATTGCAAACGCCCGTTTCCCTCGCGTCCCGGCGGTAGGGTGGACCCCCCGACAAGGGAGGTTAAGGTATTGCCCTGCCGCCGACGTGTAATCAGACCCGACTGACTCCTGAACGCCATCAGCGGCACCGTCTGCGATCTTCTCCCGGCGAGAGCGGCAGCGTGACGGAAAATCCGTCCCGCTCGCGTTAATTTCGACGATTAACTGCGACTCGGCTTTAATTACCGGGGATAAATAAAAAGACATTCGGTTGTAAATCGAGCTCTGTTTTACGCCAAGACCCGAGTTGAAGCTCGATTAAGCGCAAGTCGAGCTTAATTCACAGTTGAATAAAGTAAAGAGAGATTAACGAATATTAATAAAACACTATTGATTTATTTTGAAAAACAATAAATGTAAAATTATTTTAAATTTGAATATAGTCATCGAATTAAAAGAATTCACAGTGAATATTGATTCTAAATTTTTTTCAAAAGGCAAATTTTTCGCGAACCAAAGCCGCTTGTCAAAGATATATAAATCAATTCTATGAAAACGCTCGTTCCTTATGCAAATTCTGCAAGGCAGACTCTCTGCAAAGTTTTCATAGTACGCGCTGGGATCTGTCTTTCTCTCTCGCGCGCGCTGGAGCACTGAATTATGGTCGTGATTTCCGGCGAGATGGACCTTCCGGCCTGGCAGAAGTCCAGTACTTCGCGAAAGTGTGCGGATAAATCAAACGCGTTTTTCGGTCGCCGCACCAAGGCGTTAGTTTATTGCCATGTAAATCATCGGCGCCGCGGCGGCGACGCTCGGCGTCGATAGAAAAATACGCGCCGTTACACTTCTATAGGTTGCCACAAAATCATGAGTCTTTTGATACGCGTATATAACGGTGATTCATCGGAAATAATATTTATAGAAGGATATGCATTTCGTAGTTACTTTCACTCGAGTCCTTATATCCTGCCAGATTTCTTCATTTATTATGGCTATTTATCGTAAGAATGTAATCGTTTAGTTGTATTTTCATTTATAATCTGAAAAATAGAAGAAAAAACGTTTAAAATCTCTCTCGCCAATGAAAATATTTTCTCGCAAAGTAAATCTAATACTATCGAAAGATCATAAAATTCGACAAAAATCGACATCGCTGTTACAATTTCATATAAGTCTTTAACTAAATTTACGGTTTGTCACATCGTTGTATCTCAAACGTCGCGCCTAGTTTCACACGTTGAAATTCCACACGTTGAATATCGTAATTCAGTTAAGAAGTTGTCTTTTTCTCGCAACTTCTGGAGCAACCTATAGTAGACAATGTATCGACTACTCTTACCCGAAGAGTCGCTTCGAGTTATATCGCGCTTTATTGCCGTGGCGTGCAAATGGCGTACACTCTATAGCAGCAATAGTAACGGAATTTATAGGCGAAAGTCTTATGACGTTTCCCTTCCGTGCGGCGTAAGCTTTATCGACACGTTGTTATCTTTATTTACTCGCGCGTCCAGATTTCATTTCAGATATTTACGGACTTGTCGCTCTCCCGCATCGTCGTTTTAACAGTACCTTCGAGCGATTGTACGCCGCCTACATACTATCGGATACCAATAACGCCGCGAGAGCGAATGCCAATCGAGAAATCGTCTTGCTCGGATTTAATCTGAACCGTGGAACACCTGGATCAAACTTTTCCTACATCCAAAAAATTTGCGCCCTATACGAGTTCAAAACAGCGGTGTGCTATAACAATCTACACATTTCCTAGATATATATTTTTTTAACCGCGTCGGGAATATACGAGTGAATGATAATTTCCTTTAACTTCGTTATGTGCTCGCGAATTCATCACATGTAAATACGCTGGATCGAATTTTCGCTCAAGCGAAATTCCATCGGGATTAGGTCCCTGCCGTCGTTGTATTGCGCTATTTTAGCTCTATGTACAAAGTTCGCATTGTGCCCGTCTTCAGTCCCTTTTCTCCGCGCGCAAGGTTTCGCTTTATAAAGAAGTTGCGGGAGTGTTTCCAAAGCGCGCCCGGGAGAATTGATTCCCTCGAAAGATGAGACCGAAAGGGGTCGGCGAGGGACAGAGGAAAGATTCCGGAGAAGGAACGGAAGAGCCGAAGATTAGGACATCGGGGGGAAGAGGATAACAGGGAGAGGCCTTCTTCCCCCTCGACACGCTCCCGTCTCCGGCGAACATTTTAATTTACGGTCCCTGTCTATATCGCGCCACCGGATTCCATTTCCACCACGGGGCCGCTGTCTCTCGCCTTCATCGAATTCATATTGTCATACTCAACGAGAAACGAGGACGGGAGGATATATTCTTTAAAAAGGGGAAA